TTCTTCCCCCCCCCCCCCCCACCCCCTTCTTTCATGGAACACACCCATCCTCCCATCCTTCTCTTTTTAAACCTTCCATCGTCTCTGCATTAATCCTCTCCCACGCTGTGCTCTTGTCCCCACAGAGAAATACTTTGACATGAAGAAGAACCAGTGTAAAGATGCTCTGGACATCTACAAAAAATTTCTTTACAGGATGACGAAGCTGTCGGAGTTCCTCAAAGTGGCAGAGGTACATTTATTCACACACACACGCGTATACATCCACACGGTAGGAATAAACGTGTGAGGTTATGTCAGATTTTTACCTCCATTTGTTTTCTGTTTGAAGAGCAGCCCTCGTTGGGTTTCGTCCAGAGAGCACACACAGGCGTATGAATGCGCGTAAAACTTTGTATTTCGGCCTCAGTTTCTGCTCACTCAGCTGCGAGCAAGCAGGCGTACGCGCCTCGCCCTCTCTGCCCCACATTCCCCGCGCACACGCACGCACGCACATATGCCCGCCCAAAATAACCCAAAGATGGAGGATGTGCTTAGGTGCTCGGTTAGCTCTCTCTGCCTCCGCTCCTCCATCTAATCCCCGCTCCTCCCTCGCTCATCCCTCCGATGCTGACAGAGACAGATACTTGTGTGGCTCTCTTTTGCCCGGTGCCCACAGATCATCCCTCTTCCTTTCTTCTCCCTTGTGCCCAGTTCCCTCCCTCCCCCTTGTTTTTTTTCTCTTTTTTTCTTCCCCCCAGCATATTTGAAGCCGTTAGTTGGCCACAGTCATTTCAGCAGAGGAAACATTTCAGCAATAATTAACGGAGGCAGACGCTCCCGTTCAGATTTCCATGTCTTTTTGGTTTAATGACTGCGCAGCAAAAGTTTAATCTTTTAAAAAGTTATTATTATTAAGAAGAAGAAAAAGAAAGGAGATATTTAGCTAATTTTAATGAGTACATTTGCCTTACCTTCCATTTTGAAACCTTTTCTTGTCATTATAGTGTTATAATATATGATAAAAACCTTATATCTATCTGAACCGTTTACATCTTGTTAAGTCAAAAAGTTACTGGACTAGTGTTTGTTTGATCATTTTGTATCATTTTGGCTCTGTTAAATCCCAGATAAACACACTGCTCATCGTGGAATTTGACTTTTTTTCAGAAAGTTATTTTCACACGTTCTTTGCTATCGATTTCATAATTTCATTAAGCTTGTGTAACGATCCGTCCTCGCTACCTCACCAGAGATGAAGAAAATCCATTAGAAAATGCATTCATTCCGGCAGCCCACAAAAACCCACAAGCTGTGTGTTACATCTTCAAGTACAACCCAAAAAAAAAAGAAAAGGCAAAGCCATCAGCATCTTGATTAGATCAAGCTGGATCCCTTCCAAACAATCTGGAGTCCAACAAACAAACACAAAAAAGTCCTCTTAAATCTTTAAAGGTATCTGTTGAGTAGTGGGAGAGCACTAGCTTTCTGCTAACGAGTTTTACTCTAAAAGTGTGTTTTACAGCTGTCTTTAGGAAGCCCAACCGGCTCACGTGAACTCCGACCGAACAGAGCAAGAAGTGACGTTCTTTCTTTCTGTGTGTGTGTGTGTGTGTGTGTGTCCTGAGGAGTCGCCCGTTAACTCGTCTCAGTTGTAAGAGTTGACTTTTGGAGCCGAGTGTCACCACCATGCCATGACCCATCCCCGCTCTCTCTCATTGGTCAGACATATTTATCCGTGTGCAGTCATCACCCTCATTCTCTGTGGGGCGTCCAGCCGCCGGAAGACGTTTTGCTTGTTTGTTTCTGTTGTCGTTTCTGTTGACACTGCCGCTGCATGAAGTAACGATTCCCCTGTTTTTTGTTTTCTTTTTTCATCTGTTTTTTGTTTTGTTTTGTTATGTTCGTTTTTTTTTCCAAATGGATCCTGCCTTTTTTTCCTTTTTTTTTTTTTTTTTTTCCTTTCCTTTTTCCCCCCCCTCCCCTCCCCTCCCCTTGTTTTTATTTTGTTTTTGTTTGCTTTTGACGACAGCAAGTTGGAATAGATCAGGGTGACATCCCAGATCTCTCACAGGTCAGTGTACATTTCACCTTCCACCCCTCTCCCTCTCCCTCTCTCTCTGGCTCTTCTTTTCTTGCATTTTGTCTTTCCCACTCCACATTTACAGATCCCTCCTTCAGCAGTCCACGTGATTTAATTTCCTTTACACTTTGATCCATAGATTTGACTCATTCATATATCTGTACATCCCTTCTAACACCCCCCCCCCCCCCTTCACACTCAGTGTAGTTGTTTTTATTCCATTCTTCCATCAAGTCCAGCCTGACATCCCCGTTCAAACCTAAGCAGCTCTTCTCTAGCATTCTCTTTATTCTGGTCTTAGATCCACTGGCTGTCAGCAAACCTTGATTCAGGTTTCATCATGTGTTTGTGTTAAAGCCCCGACCTGAGGCAGATATCAAGCTCAGACCTTAAACGTACAAAAACAAGGATAATGGCAACACGAAAGGGCCAAAAATAAAAAGGCAAAGCAGCTCCACCGTCAGGGAACTTCATTTCTCAGTTCAATCAACTGCTTTTTTAAGTTTAACGGCAAATCTTTTCTCTGGGATTTGATTCATTAATTTTCAGTGACTGGGTGGATCCCAGAGACTAGATTTTCCACATTAGACACGCGCTGATAACGTCAGACACGTGGCAAACAAAACATAAAGTTGTATTTTTTTTAAACTCATGGAAGTCTGAAAAATTACAGTTAGCATTTAGCTTAGCGTCACAAATTGATGATTCCAAGAAGACCAATCCGGCCCGAGCTGCCAGAAACCGCTCTGTGAAATCATCATTAGCAGCAGCGCCGATTAGACTGGCCGCTAATCAACGTGTGGGTCCTGTAGCTCAGCCGGGATGAAAACAGGGACACAGCGGGACCGGCGTGACACATGTTAGGACAGATCATCTGTGTAGAGCTGGACGTGCGCTGCGCCCAGATCCGTCTGTGTGCGCGCCGCACTCGCTCTGTAGCAAAACGCTTCGTTGTGGTCTTTAAATGGAGGTTTCTCTTCTCCCCTTTCTGTCGCAGAAAACCAAAGGATCATACATTGTAGGTGGTGGGTTGCAACTGTACAGCTTAACCCCTCGAACCCGCTTAAAGGAAAATTCCGGCATTTAGCCCTGGCTGGTTCCAGTCGATTTTTCGGGGGGCAGAACCACCACGTCCAAGAGGACGATGGAAGTCAGAGCTGCAAGCTCATGAGTCGAGTTTGGGGGTCATTTAACCCACTGACCAAAAGGGGAATCAAGGAGTGAACCTTTTTCTTTTTTTAAACTAGCACTTTTTTTTATCCAGCTGCCATGACCGGCTCCTTTACTAAGGTTCCCTGTTTGATCTCACGCTTCTCCTTATAGAAACTTGCCTGAACCAAACCTAGATGGAAACCACCGTGGAAGCTGTTGCTGCTGAACAGCCGATTTCTAAAGATACTTTTCCCTACGAAACCCCAAAGAGGGATAATGCGGAATTTTCCTTTAAGCCCCTGCACGAATATCTCGCTCCTTATTCTCGTACCCGTGTATGCTAAAAACCCAGACTGACAGCTCCAGCTCCCACCGGCATGCTTCCTCCCTTTTCCTCCCCGGTGTGGAGCGATCTGATGTCGGCTCGGCGCGATACGTGTGCGCTCGCCTCAGGTGGCTCGCTTGTAGCTGTCAAAACACGCATGGCAAACTGCGCACACACACACACACACACACACACACACACACACACACACACACACACACACACACACACACACACACACACACACTCACACACTCACACACACCCACTGCTCTGGCACAAAGGCCACGGATGGCTCATGAATGGGAAATGAGCCTCGGCTCCTCCGCCCCACCAAACTTCATCTGCATGGCAGAGTCTCCGCACAGAGTCCCGAGCCGCTCGGCTCCCCCCCCCCCCCCCCCCTTCCCGCTCAGACTCTGTTTATTCTGTGTTCGTCGTGCACAACATCATTGCTTCCACATGCATGGCAGAGTTGCTTTAGAGTTGCCAGTGGCCGGAGCGTTGCTGTGAAATCACACATGTCCAAAATGGGAACAGGAGAGGAGGGAAAGTAGGTCTCTCTTCAGATTTTTGTTTTTCTCTCTCTCTCTCTCTTACACAAAAAAAAAAAAAAAAAAATCATTTCAACTAGCTCGAGCTACCCAACGGCCACAAAGGAAGAGGCTTTAAATACTCATTGCTGACTGGATCGGTGTTTTTAGAGCCACTATTGACCGGGCACACACATCGATCGGCCCTCCACCCGCTCAAAGTGTCCCAATTAAAAGGCGGAACGTCTGTTCAAAGTGCCGGGCGCCGGTTAGGCCGAGTCTCCGATGCGCGGCCCCTCCTGTGGACGCAGAGGCAGACATGACGCCGTCACGCTTTCCACAGCTGGGAGAGTCCACCTCCTCTTGTCTCTGGCCCAGAGAAAAGGCAGCCGAGCTGTTTTCTCTTCACTTTTTCTCTCGCCTCGTGGAGTTGTGGAGGCGCCAGAGACAAGCAGGCTCTGAATAATGCAGCTTTCTGCCTCTCCCCCCCACACGCCCTCTAACCTCCCCGTGTTGCCTTTCGAGCGTTAACGAGGCGCCTAACAAGCGCCCGAGACTTTGAGTTGTTTTGCAGCCGGAACAACTGGAACCGGGCTCGAGTCCGCAGCTTGAACCGAGACATCTGCGGTTACGTAGCAACAGTCCCTTAGTAACGGTGCCCACGAACCTTCACTTCCGGGCGGGTTCACTCCGGTTTTGTGCAGCCGTCCGCCATAGAAGCCAAAAGCTTAAAAAAGACGATTGTCCCCCCCCTCCCCGAAAAAAAAGTTAGTTCCTTAGAGTTTAGCTCAACTCCTGGTGTGAGATGATTCTGGTAAAATGAAAAAGGGGTTATGGGAGGCCTCCGCCCCTTTGAATCTCAGAAAAAGAAGGTGCAGCCTCTCCTTTGCTCTTCACCTTTTTTTCCTCACTCTTTGCTCTCCGACCTCCTCCTTTGTTCTCGCTCCCCCCCCTTTCGAGTTTCCAGCTAACAATGTGAGTGTTTGCTGCATGTTGCCATGGCTATTCTTGGAGCCTGGTGCACTCCGTTACCTTCCTGTGAGACCGACTAACTCTGGGTGCTGCCTTTGAGTCTGTCTGTGTGTGTAGAACTGTGTGTAGGTGTGTTTCTTCTTTCTACTGTGCATATGAGAGAAATCATACTGAGATGTGATTTTTCCCAAAAGTCGAATGCGAATGATTCTCTTGCTCGTACTCCCTCAGGCCCCCAGCAGCCTCCTGGAGGCTCTGGAGCAGCACCTCGCCTCTCTGGAGGGCAAGAAGACGAAAGAGCTGAATGCCGACACCAGGTAGATGTTCGAACTTCTCTTTGCATTGCGTCAGGTTGGCGCCTGAAACTCTAAACTCTTAAAGTTGCAACGAGTGCAATCTGGAATAAGTGTTACTTCTTTTTCTGGAATTGCCGTTCACTTTTTTTTTTTCCCCCCCGTCCCAGGGCATCTACTTTGTCCAACGCCGTCTCGTCCCTCTCCTCCACCGGCATGTCCTTCAGCCGTATGGATGAGAAGGAGAAGCAGCAGGCCTTAGAGGAAGAACAGGCTAGACTGCAGGCTCTAAAGGTAAGAATTGACACCCATTTAACTTTAGAACTGGGCAGAAGGCTTTTTGCTTACAGGGGGAGAAAAAAACTTCTGCTGGTGGATCGTTCGGCAACAATCCCGTTTGAGATCTGAACCCCGGACGAGGACAAAGTCCAAGTGGCCTCGGCGACGAGTTAAGCAATAGCAAAGCCAAGTGTGAAGCGTGTTGACGTTTCTTCCTCTGGCCCTGGGAGGCTGTAAGCGAGCAGGAGCGGCGTAGCGGCAGCAGAGGCCCACAGCGGCGTGCGGGCTTGTTTAGCACGCTCGCAGTCTGCCGGCCAAAGAGACAGGCGCGTGTTTGCAGCCAGCGTTTAATTGGATTCCGCCGCGCTGTTTACCCGGTGCCCTCGCTCGGCCCCGCTCCTGCCAAGGCCCCGCTGTTCACCTCCGGGTTTAGTCAGCAAGGAGAAGCCAGACAAAGCGAGAGCGGGACCGGAACGGCGAGAGAGGGAGCCGGGGTTAGCAGGGGTCGTCCAAATACTCCAGCCAGCTGCCGGCCCTCCCTGCTGTCCATATGGACGCGTACAGAAAAACGCTCACACACTCTGCTACTGTCCAGCTGGAGCCTCAGCCCAAACAATAACAGCAGTTCCCATTTGCCCCGCGCTCCACTCCAAGAATAGTAATGAGGAGGAGTCCGCCGGCTGAGGCAGGTACAGCGGGAGATTCTGTTTATTAATCCTATAAAGGTGGCCGAGCTTCTAAAGAGACTGTGAACATTTCCCTACTTTACGTTTCAGCTAAATTAAAACCTCTTTGCCAGCTGTGTTCAAATAAAATTGACTCTGAGACGCTGTGTTTTCCTTCCCTCTAATAATCTGCTGCACTGCATAGTTGAGAAGGGCCTTTTCTCCTTCTCTTTTTTTTCTTTTTTCCGAAGAGGTTTATCTTCCCACATGATGGGGCGCAAACGAATCGATCCCCGAGGAGATACGCGGCCATTGCAGCAGCAAATAATAAGATCTAGAGGGAAATGCAGGCATATGGCCGACATACACGAAATAAGAAATAAAAATGACAGGGTGACAAAATCAGCACGGCCCACAGAGCGCCCGCTGGGGGGATAATACATCAGCGCTATCAGCTTTGACATCTTTTATGAGCTGTATGGAGAGGCGGTATGGATCGTGTTGCACTGAAATGAATTTGAAGCTTTTTATCGTTTTAAGCGACAAAAACATAAGCATTTTTCCCGTCAGCTGTCCCCCCCCCCCCTTTAACTACTTCCAGCGTGTATGAAGTGCAATGATCAGGGAGCTGTATAACCTCAGGGGGTTTTCACAGACATCAGGCTGGAAAACATTTGGGAGATCAATGGCTGTGTCGTGTTCACACGGTGGCTCGTATTTAGGGGGCTCATCACCCTAAATCGGCAAAACCAAAAATTAGATTTTGAGTTCTTCATACCGATGTGTCTTTATTATGTGGTGTATTCTTAATCCAACGCCACGAGGCAGCCCTGAGGCCGAGCACACAGTAGACTGAATCTACAATCGTTTAATTCCGCATCCAAAACAAAGAATAAAGCTAATCTCACAGAGGCTCAGCCTGTAACTTCCACCTTCTTTATTAATGAGCATCCTCGCAAGAATTTCCGCACAACCTGACTCAGGAGGCCTTTGATATGAAGTTGAAGGCGTGTATTTCTAGCAAATCATGTCAGATTCCAGGACCGTTGGCCTAACTCCGCTATTCGTGTGTTTGTGTTTGTGTTCCAGGACCAGCGCCTGAAGGAAATCGGCATGCAGACCCCCCCCTCAGCCTCTCCCAGTAGCCAGTCGATAGGCAGCGCTAACAACAACAACCACATCACACAAACCCCAGAGCTGTTCAGCTCCGTGCTGACCGCCAACAGGTGCACACACACACACACACACATACACACACACACACTCCTTGATTGCACTCACAGGCTGATTTTCAACATCTTTAAAGCTGATAAATAGTTAAACAAGTACTACAATGAGAAGAGATCAAATTAACCTGTAAAGCAAAAAAGTCAGAAAGAACCAGCGTTGCCGTGGTAACTCCAGATGTTCCCCGCCGCCACCTTGGTGTTGCGGCCCCCAGTGTGCAGCTCTCATGGGGCCACTGTTAGTGGCCGATCAGTCCATTTCCTCCAGACGTGGCCTTTCGTTAACAGAGTGGCGTTGTTTGTAACAGGAGCAGAAATTGCTCCCAGTATGAACACACGCTGCACATTTACTGCCACTAAGGGCTCTATTGCTGAGCGGAGGTTTTTAAAGCCCTTCAGAGAGAGGCCATTAGTCTATATCTTTGACAAATGTTCAGTTTTAGTTGTGGTTTTAGCAACTTATGCTCAGTTTATTCAATATTAGTTCTCAGTTTCATTCCTTCTCTGGATTCCTCTCTGTTCCTTTTCCTCCTCTAACTGGAACATGGTTTCTTCTCTTTTTCTGTTGTGTACCTTAACTCTGTCTCTCTCTTTGTCCCCCCCCCCCCCCCCCTCTCCTCAGTGTGCCCAACCTGAACAGTGACCTGTTTGATCTCCAGCCAGCCTTCATGCCCGCTGTGCAGAGCACTCCTTCAATCTCCACCAACAACAGTGCCTGGGGAGGTGCGTTACCCACACACACCCTCTTGAACGCACACCCATACAAAGCTGCTAGTACGCACACGGCTGCGTGCACGTGAACTCAATGCCGAAGTGTTTTTCCTCCGGCCAGCCATTTACCCGTCCGCCCATCCATCAATCCATCCAACCGCCATCGCTCTCCCCCTTTTCTTTGCACAACCCAGCTGGTGTTTGCTGCAGTTTTCTGTCTGAAAGGAGAAAATACAGAGAGAGAGAGAGAGATCTTGCCATAGTGAGTCCAGTAACTGCACGTCCCTGGAAAAAAAAACGAGGGCTGACATTTCAGTTGCCGTCATCTGCATGAAATCAAAGTGTTGCTGTAAGATGCATCTGGAAGCTCTTGTAGCACGGCGTATTAGAGGCTTTATGTCACCGGATTACGCCGGGGCCATTTGGACAAAAGGAATTTGGGCCGATTTCACAGCCCAAGAGGCTTCTTAGCAAACTGCGGATGTCATTATTGCCGACACTGTCGCAGAGGCAAAGATTAGCACCCCCTGTTCTTTTCTTAAAAATGGCACAAAGGACACTCGCCTCCTTACACGACAGAAGCGGTGCTGCAAATGTGCAGAACACAATGATCAGACATTTTTGGGGGTTGTTTGTTTTCCTTTTTAAAGGAGAACTGAAGAAAAATGGCACTATGTTTATGTAGAGGGGACAGTAAAGAAGATGTACTGCTTCAGCTAGCATCCATTAGCCTAGCGCCTACCGTGTGGTATGCTAATTAGTGTGCCGAAAGAGATGCTGAAAGCAGGATTTTTGACAGGAATTATGACAGGAGCACAGATGGGACTTTCCGCCTTAATTTTTCATGTCATTCATCGGTTAGGTTTTTGCTCACGGCACAAAAATATCCGAAAAACAACAAAAGAAATGAAATGTCTGATGCTAGCTAGATGTCATCAGAAAAGTGGATTTCTGTTTAGCTGCGTCGTGTTTTTATTTTTATTTTTTTAAAGATCTTTACAAATAATATTTATGTGTGTGTGAGAGGTGAAATGGAGCCGCGATGTCATGCCTGACAATGATAATGATGATAATTACAGTGTGTTTGTTTTTAGTCAAAGACTGCCACTCTCCACTGCTTCAAACCTCTTAAATCCCTTTCAGGGAGTCAGATGAGAAAAACAAAAGGTGCATCAGTGGATTTCTCTGTGAGCAGGCTTAACGCTCCCCAGAAAAGCACGACATTCCCAACAGCCCTGCACGTAATCCCAAGTTACTGAGCAACATAAGTGGAATACACCGAGGCCTGTAATATCCATCTTCCTAATCTAATGGGATTAGTTCAGCAGGGGCTGGCGGAATCCTTACCAGAGCAAATCCATTACTTTTGGGTCCCCACGAAATCGTTCTCCTGTGCATCTACAGCAGAGTCCTTTGTGAAAGTGTGTCAGATCCAGCTGCTCCAGCTGCCGAGCAGCACCAAACGAGCGTAATCGGTCATATGTAACTGCATTCCTCAGGACTGGAGAGCCAGCCGCTGCAGCAGCACACCGCCTCGGCCATGACCGTAGATTTTGATGCCGTGTTCGGGAATAAGGCCACACCCAGTAACGGCAGCCCACAACCAGCCGGTAAAGCCCCTCTCTGTCTGACTGTCCAGACGGAGCCAGACTGAAAACTAAAAACCTTTCGGCTTTACTGGCAGGCTTAGTGTTGAACTAACCCTTCTGATCAGCTTCATCAACCTGTTTTACTTATTTGTTTATTTTTTGCCCTTGGGTGGGAGTTTGCAGCTTTTTTTCTAACTCTGTTGCAAAGCTTGTTTTTTTTTTTTTTCTCCCTAATTCTGCAACAAACGCTCAAACACCAGAGATCAGGTTTCATTACACTTCAAATTCACTTGATTTTTCTAAATTAAAAGAAATAAAAACAACTTGAATCCGGGTTGCCGATCTTCCAATCCATAGAATTGTGTGACTTCTCATTATTTCCTGGTCTCTGACTATTTGAATGAGCTGATGTCAGAACTCCATGTCCTTGGACTATCAGCAGGACTATATGTACAGATAAATTGGTTGTAAAGGGGTGCTTCTCATACATTTATTTTGTGTGGAAGGGGAAGGTGGCAGAGTGAGGAACCTGTCCTCCCTGTACCTCTGTCTCTCTTCTCTGTCGTGGTCAGACAGGTCTCTGTCTTTGTCTCCGATTCTTTCGACCCCCTCACCAGGTGACGCCTTCTGCCTGAGCTCTCCGCTCAGCTGTTTTGCAAAGTTTCTAACTTGAAGGCACGGCGAGCCGTCGGCGTCTCCAGAGAAGGGCACAGACGTCCCGCCGAGACCATTTAAAGAGCATATTCATCACAAAGGGAGCGCAGCTCCGAGAGCTGAATGGATTTCAGATTGGGTCCCAATTCTGCGGCGGCCTTTGGAGCATCAGACGGTCAAACGTGCCAAGTAGCGGTTACTCTTAAAGATCAGCTAGGTCTGTAGTCACAGGGGTTGGATGTGCGATCGGTTTCCGGTTTGCTCCCCCCTCATGCAACCTTATACATCTCTGCGCGCTGGTATCTGTCTTTGGATAAGACTTAACTTCTTTCTTTTAATAGAGCCTCTATAGAAGCTGCCATTACAGCTACCAATACACCATCTGGGATGCTGGCAGCATCTCAAAAGTGTGTGTTTCCCTTCATGTGTGCGCCCACGTGGAATCGGTGTGCGCACACACATGCACCCCCCGTGTCTGTTTGCACATCCTCTCTCAGGTTTTCCTCCTTTCCATATGTCTGCTTCTGCCTGTCTTTTTTTTTTTTTTTCTCGTTCACACCGTTCCCGTCTTCCTCCTCGTCCCCTCCCGTCATTTCATCTTTCTGTCTTTGCTTCATCATCATCTTCTCATCACACTTCACAAGGCAAGAATCACCCAGGCAACCCCTTTCCATCTGCTCTCCTCCTCTTTCTCTCACTCTTTGCATTCACAATTGAAAGGCTTTTCTTCTCTCTCCCCTGTCTTTATTATTTTTTTTTGTTGTTGTGAAAATTGAATCTTCAGTTCATATATTTGCTGCATCTTTTTATCTTCCCCCATCAACTCAAGCTCTGTTTGCTTGGTTTTTAAACGAGCTTTTAGGGGGGGAAAAACCCAGCCTCTTTGTTTCCAATATTTCCTCCGTAATCATGTCTTTTCTTGTGCCTTTTTTAATGTGAAATCAAAGCCCACCTGGACCTTTAAAAATAATATATTTAGTTTTTTCTACAAAAATGCCTCCCTTAAATTTAATTTTTAACTTGCAATAGTAATCTAACTGTTGAAGATTTAATAATATTTGTTATACAGACCCAGATTGAGTTGTGTGAACCAGACATAGATTTAAATGAATATCTTGTTCTTATTAGGTTCAAATTTTCTCATCATCCCACGAGAGTACAGTATGCTATCGGATGTAAACAGATGAACAAGTCGAGGTGTTCTGGGACCCGTTTTCCCACAGCAGGTGGATAGGCGTTTCTCATTCCAGACATTCGGAAGCTCAGGTTTGACAAGCAAGTTTGATTTGATTTTTTTTGTCTAGCAGGGGGAACAACAGCAGCACTTCTTTTCTTACTTTCGCCTTAGTTGGAGCCGTTTGCTTAAACATAATTGGAAATATGCTGTTGACTAAACCATTAAGTTGCATTTCCTCACCTCTCCAAACGTCTGGGTTTGAGGTCTTCCACATAGTGCGGTACAGCCCCTGCCTGATCAGCTTTGCTCGGTTGGAGTAGGTGTTTCTTTAAGCCTCAGGGTTCATCCAGCTCCTTCTGTTTTCTGTCACAGTGTCAGCGAACAGCGGTGTGATGCATTGCTGCTGGAGGCCCCGCGGGCTCACCCCCATCACACACCCCCTCCCCGATGATGTTCCTTCCTTATCACACGCTTCCCTCCAGTTTTTACTTCCTGCTCAGCCGGTGATAAGCACCGAATTCCCCTGCGCTGACATGGCAGTGAGAGATGCTCGCTCTGTAATGCAGATACTAACCTGCGAGGAGCACTTTTCCACAGATATGCACATAATTAAACGGTTACCTTTCCACCCAGCTGAGGAACAAAGGCAACTGGGTTCCCACTGTGGCCACAGCTTTAAACGTTCATGGGCTCTTATCCTTCTTTTCCCGTGTTCGAGCTTTTAAAAGAGCTTTTTGGGAAAATCTGGACTGACCTCTCTGTTCTTCAGGCTCTCCAGTGGTTTGTGCGTCGGGGGGGGGGGAGATTGGGATTCTTTTAGCTCTTGCGCACCTCTCATCGTGGCAGACTCATTATGTTGCAGAGTTGACCGACCTAAAAATCTCAAAGCTTCTGGATGGTGATGCCTTTTTTAATGCATGGAACCAACCAATTAGTCTCCAGCTTTTTTGTTCTTTTGTGAGAAGTATATTTTTGCTCCGGCCCGACACATATAAACATCGGCCTCCAAGGTTGTTTTTTTTTTTAAGATTCAGTACCTGGCTGTTGGAAGAGCCAGACTCTTGAAAAACCCTAAAGCTTATGCTTGATTTTTTTCCCCCTCCAGTCACTGTGTAAGGAAAGCAGCAGAGTTCAGGGGGAAGATCACATTAAGGAGATGTTTTTCACGCTGAGAGGAGCTTCGTGTCCTCCCTCTGCATTTAAACTGGTCATTAAGTACGGCCTCGACATGTGTTGAAATCCATCAGTGTAGCAGCCTGCGAGGAAAGTTGCTCCATGAATCCCAACCTCCCCCCCCTCTCCAAATGCCTGGGGATAGCCATGTCTTTGGCAGTGTGTGCAACATCTTGATAAAATGGGGCTACTTTGTAGTGAAGTCAAGGATAGTGGGCTCGTTTCTGTAAAGAGGCTTTAGTGATGCAGCCCTCTCCCATTTCAGCTCTGATCTGTTAGTGTTTTGCACTACAGAGCTCTGACAAGGATTAACTCCCTTCCCTCCCTTTGATCTTAAATTATATTGACTGTCAAATCCATTGCTAAAGCACCTAAGCTAACACTGATGTCATTATCCTCCGGGTTCAATACCACTCTTAGTTCTCACCTCATCACGTCTTCCTCCACTCCCTCCACCCATGCCTTTTATTTCTCTTTCTTTTTTGTTTTTTCCCGATGTCTCGCCACCCTGCAGGGTGTGTGATCTACAGAGGGAGCTCGTTTCACAGTTTTTTTTTTTTCATTTTCCCTCCAGTCTCTCTTTTCCCCATGCAGCAATGGCTCGGTCCAAGTCTCAGAGCGTGACCGACACGGCCATTCAAAGAACGACAAAACGAGAAAAAACAAGCAAACACTGATGCCGTTTAATTGCAGCAAACAACAACAGGAGAGAAATTAGAGTGAAGAGAATTAAAAAGATTACAGGCAACACTGGGTTTCCCCACACTCCTCGCCGTTCGTCTTTCTTTTTGGTGTCTTTATCGTTTCCGTCCTCTCCCCTTTTTCTCTCTCATCTGCTAAGCTAGCAGGAAAAGTGCTTTCTGAATCTCTTGTGTCAGCACCACTGTCAGACATGCACACTGCTTCCTAACTAAATATTATTCCCCCCCTCTTTTTCCACTGTCGGATGCCTCTGATTTTCTTTTCCTTCTCTTTCTTTCCTTTTCCTCCTCTATCTGTCCCGTGCAAAGGTGTGCATGTGAAAAATCTGCTAGCCTCCACAGCAGTTTTTTTTTTTTTTTTCACACCCGTAACACGGTTGAAGCTCCATTCAGGCATAAAATCCGACAGAAACATAAACAGCTTGCCGTGAAGCTTTTAGTTTGTGTTGTGTGTGTTGTTCTCCCACCCCCCCCCAACTCGTCTTCTCTTACATTCTCCCTTTCTTTTCTTCACGCTCACACAATCACACCTCCAGGTTTCTACAGCAGGGTAGTAACAGCCCATTAGCTGAACGAGTGCTGACATGGGGAGCTCTTTCTGCTGGTACATAGAGTGCGCTCACACGCTCACCAACACAGGAAATTCCTCTGTCATTTGCACCTACCGGCCATGGACAAACAGATTTCCCGCACTTACATGTTCCAAAATAATCACCGTGCGGAGCTGGAGCGCCAACACGACAGCTAAAAGCAGATAAATCAATCAACTAGAAGAAGAGCTGCAGGCTCCAGAGTCAGGGATTAGACAGTCAGAGGAGGGGAGGAAAGAAATGGACTAAATCTGCTTTGAACAAGAATATCTGCTCCTGTAGGTAAAAGCTAAAAACAGGAGGGGGTGAATTTAATTAAGGGAGCGTCGGGTCGTGAGGCTCAGGTTTGAATTAAAGAGGTAGAGCAAAGAAATGCTCTCATATCTACATTATTTATTTTTTTAAAAGGGAGAGAGACGAAGCAAGATATTTGAAAAAATTTGGAGCCTCATTAGATTCAGGATAAAAGCTTTTGCTCTCATACATTTGTCTTGGATGGTCGGAATCTTTCATTCTTTTGAGTATCCAGCGCTGGAGATGTCCGCCTGGCAGTTGCTTCTTTCTCTGATATTACGCATAAATCGAGTCCTCATTTTTGTCTGAAACCAGCAAACAAATCAGTGCATCGATTTAAAAGGTTTTCTTTTTCTTTTAAATCTCTCAGCTCGCCCACTGCATGTTTGAATAAAAGGACGCAGCATCTGCCTCCCACTAACTGCAGCAGCTCACCTCACTGTATTTGAACATATCTGGAATGGTGCTCTAGCATGGCAGCATTAAAGTCTGATTAAATCTTTATCTGCATCCTCATTTCCTGGATTGAAACGTGCTAAAACGGTAATGGGAATCTTAGTAAGCTCGTAGATTCAGGGGATATCTAAACTGATCAGACTGAGATGTCATTTGGGTTGGAATGAGGTGTGAAATAACGTCTAAATGGCTCGCCATAGTGTGCCGTCTTTAAGGTCTCGTGTCGTGCAGACTGTTGATGTGAAACTTGAAAGCCCGACTTCGCTTCTTGGCCCGGTCACAGTCGCCAAGTTGTGAATGAAGAAAGCGGTGATTCCTCCTGCTTTTGCTTGGGTGCGTTGGCGCCCGTTGATGCATCCGCAGAGCCGCCCTCGCGCTCACCTCGCCTCGTGTTTTTGCTGTCTCCAAACGGGGCTTTTTTTTTTTTTTTCCCCTCAGCTCACTGTTGATGCGCGAGTTGATCTCTCCTCCAGGTTTCGACGCTCTGGGAGACCTGTTAAAGCCGACGGTTCCCACACACAGCGCACCTCCTCTTCCTCCTCCTCAAATGGCGATCCATCACGGAGGGAAGCTGCTAGCCAACGACCTGGACTCCTCTCTGGCCAACCTCGTGGGCAGTGAGTGCTGATACACGTGAACACGTTAACAGAGAGCAACAAGCAGGACTATGTTATGCAACTTCCCACCTGCAGTATGAGACCTTCACTGCACACTCAACAGCTTATTTTTCTTAAACATGCAAATGCTGTAAGTCTAATGGATTTTTAACTGCGATTCGGGCGAAAGTGCCGGCTTTACTCGCGGTTATGATAGAATATACTCCTCTAGATTCCGCGAGTTAGAGGTGGAACGAGAGTACAGAGTGAAGTGAACTCCCTTTTCGATGTGCTCACTCAGTCTTTCTCTTTCTTCTTCTTGTCAGATCTGCAGTTTGGGAACGCAGCCAAGAAGTAAGTTTGCTCCACCGGCGTCCATGCATCTCAATGTTGTGTTCCCTTTTTTTTCCAGGTTTGAGTTTCTACATTCAGATACAGGGTGCTAGTTTTTCTTCCTTACCTCTTGCTCGCCAAGACAGCATTTTTTAAAATAAGATTTGCAGTTGCTGCAAAGTAGTTGATTGGTGAAACAGTTCTCATCCGAGGGGTTTCAAAGACAGATTCTCGTTTCGTAGTGCATCCACCATTTATAAACCTCGGGATTAGCAAAAAAATCGCCAGCCCAAATTCATCCTTATCCCCTCCTCTTGTTTAAGGACTAGAGACAGAGCAACATCCCACCCACTGACCACTTCTTCACAGCTTTTTGGTCTCTTCCACTTTAAATGTGGCCTCTGTTTCACAGGGAACACAATAGAAACGGCTTAACATTGTCTTAAAGAGGACTTCAAATTGCTTATTAAAATCATGCAAGCTGTGGAAGGAGAAAGCACTACAAACAAAGCCCGGCGTTGGACCCTTTTTTCTCCATGAGCTTCAATTGGCTGTCTTTTTTTTTTTTTTTTTAAACAAACAAAGCCTTCAAATGGGAGGATTGTCCATATTTTTTATCTGCAGTGTACAGATTTTCGTTTTCTAGTCACAGTGAGAGCTGAGCGGAAACCCTGAATATTGAAATGTACACAGCCGTTTCTGACTTCGAGCTCATCGATTCTGCAAAGAGAAAAGAACAATGAGCAGCCAAAACATGCTGTCGTTTTTTTTTTGTTTGAGCCTACAAAGCCTATTGACGCCAACAGTGAGTTAGTTTATTTCCACTTCTGGTAAATATTAGGCAGCATCGTAGCCCACAGAATGTAACGGTGGCATGAAACATGAAAAGAAATTATTAACCATCCACATTTATTAGAAAGCTAATGGTCTGTGGCTGGAAATGTTTGGAAAATTGTTTTAGCCAGAAAATCTGGAAAATACAGCCATAACTATCCGTTGTTGAATTCAGCCATGTTAGAGATGTTTTACGTGCACAAAAAGGGGGATAGAAAAGCACTTTCATCAGTAATTCACGAGAAAACTGGAAGGAGGTTAAAGATTCTATTAATTCTTTTCAGAAAGAAAAAAAGAAGCTTCTTGCTCCCTTTTGATGTTGTGTGACGACTCATGTTTTTTACGTTTTTCCACAGGCCAGATATGCAGTGGAACCAGCCTGGAGAGAAGAAGCTTACCGGTGGCCAAAACTGGCAAAATAAGACCATGTCGACCACACAGTGGGGCCCGGCCCCCATGGCCCCGCAGCCCATGCCCGTGCCACATGTGGTAAGCACAACAAATCACTCTGCTCACACACACACACACACACACACACACCTGTACCCGCTTTATCTGCCAAGGTGTCTGCAAGTCTCAAAACGGATCGGAGAATTTCTTATTTTTGACCCCTTTGGGCATAATTTCTGAGCTCTGTGCTCATATTAAACCACTACAAACCACCACTGACCTGTTTTACTGCGCTGGCAAGTCTCAAACTGACCCTTTTAAGAAGGCTAAATGTGACCCAGAACTCCAGATCCCCCTCAAGATGCTCTGAGTCAGCGATCCTCAACCCCTCTGCGTCACGGGCCACTTCCAAGAAGGACCGTTTCACCAGAGTGTGCATTTTATGCAATTACATATTTTGTGAAAACGCACTATGTGGACAATAAATAGCAGAGGAAGCAGGAGAATTACCTGTGGCTGTGAGCCTTAAATTTAAGTACAGCACCGGCTATTATCTGGTTATTTCCTCTTAAATGCTGCTTTCTTTACGCCGTCTAAGAAGTTTTTACCCCCTCTCTCTCTTCACTGGAGTTGGCTAACTGCAACAACAACAATTTTCAAGCTCAGGGAAATGGACGTGGACGGGAATGATCTTTTGTGCCCCAAAATAAGACAAGAAAATTGTTGTAAACTCTTATGTTTTGCTATTCACAGAGCAGTACTAATCGTTCTTCAGCATCCCAAAAGAACAATCTCCTCTCAAGAGTTAGGTTCACACTGGCTAGCTGATTCTTCCCTGACAAACACCTTCGGTTTACTGCTAAGATTTTTCTAAAAGTTCCTTCTGTCTTTTTCACGATGGAAGATCTATGTAAAGATGCCAACACCTGAGTCCATGGAGTAAATCTTAACACCTCCGAATTAAAATAAAAAAAACTCTGGCTTTTAGGGCTACAGCAATGTTTCAGGAAATGGTCATATTTGCTTTCATAAGTCTGGTAAAAAAGAATTATAGTTTTTTTTAGAATTTATCATACTCCTCCACATTTGTTTATATTAGTCGGCCTTTTTATGCCCTGGAAGATGGGAATCTCCCAGTTCTGTCCGCCTGCCAGAAGTACTAACTTTCTCTAATTAACTATTTGTTCCACTGTTTTTTTTCTTTTCCTTTTCTGGACTCTACCAAACAAAGACAAACAATCGATTATTGTTTATTTTCTGGGCTCCCGGCCAGCAGACCGGCCCACCTGAGTGAGGCTGAGAATCAGTAGCATCTTCTAGTTTTGCTCCTTTAGAGCGAAGGCGTCTTTTGGGAAATACTTTTGGGTACTTTTTTTTATTTGGGAGGGAGTTGAAATGTTCCCTCGGCTGTTAGCTGAGACTCGCAGACACTTTGCAAACGCAAAGCAAAAGCTGGTGGAAACACTGAATGTGCATGTTGGGGTTGTCGTTTCATTTGTGTGTGTGTGTGTTTGTGCATGGTTACTGGGTTCAGAGCTTATCTGTGTGTGCATCCCGTGTGTGTGTGTGTGTGTGTGTGTGTTTGTAAGCCTGCTGATCTCTGCAGCTCCTGATTGTCCCACTGATCTGTGCGCGGCCGTTTGGGCTGACGAAGACAAACTGTCACTAACCCTCCGCTTCCCCTGTTCCTCTGCTTTTCTCCTCCTGTTGATCTCTTCTTTCTTTCCTCCCTCCGCCGCGTCCCCTCTGATCTCTCCTTCCTGCCGTTTTGCACCGTCATCTTCCCCTCTCCCTGCGTTGTTCTGCCCGTTTTGCCTCGTCATCCGCTCGTCCCGTCCTCGCCACTCCGCCTTTGACGTCCGCTCGCCGGTGCACTGACCCCGTCTTCTTCTTCTTCTCATCTTTTTTTTT